CATTGATAGTAGACATATTACCATACAATTCGTGGGCGATAATGTCCGTGTATCTACTTCTCTTTGTTCAGTAGCATTGTCACCAAAATGTCGCAAGGTTAATATTTTCCTTCTTAGTAACTGTGACAGAAAGTTCACGAGCGAATTTCGCAGAAATGAACGTAGCATTGGCTCCCTCGTCGAACATTACGACAGCATTAATGGGTTGGTCGTTCCTCACAGAAATAGGAACTATGGCAGTTTTCAATAAAACCGGCCCCGCATTCTTAGGTTTAGTTGCTAAAGTGTCCGGATATTGGTCTTGACAACGGTCATTATTGAAATAGTTCTTATCCGGAAGTGGCGACACTTTGGTAAAATTCACAGTAATAACTTCCGTGGTGGCATCCGCGGTTTGTGATTTCTTTGTTTGACTCGGAGCGGGACTCGAAGTTGACGCGGATTCTTCAAAATGAAGACTTGTGTGGTGTTTTCTTTTGCAAATTCGACAAGTGTATCGAGATCTGCAGTCAGCTACCCTGTGTTTTCCAAAACAGTTAAAACATTGTCTGTTTTTGCGAATAATGTCCAAGCGTTGACGCGTATCGTTGATGACTCGACATTCAGCGGCGTGATGTGCACCTTTGCAGAATGGGCAAACTTTTCGTGTATGTCGTGGCTCTTGTTGTGATTTCGATGTTTGGCCCGTTGAGACGTGAGTGTGAAAAGCGGCTGTGATCTCTGGTGGATTCGGCGCATTCACTATAGATAGTTCTTCCAGTGAACATCCGGCTTGAAGAACGTTTATCTCTCGTAGTATAGCTTTACGCAAATCGGGTAAATTCCACGCAACATCCCCACGATCCCGAGCTATTTGTTGGCGGATGTTTGCAGGCAACTTATCCCTTATCATCGGTACGAGTAGTTCCCCATATGTGGATTCATTCTTACCCAATGATTGAAGGCCTCGAACATTACTCTCAATAGAATCGTAGAAATGTCTCAAACTAATGATATCGTTGCACGGTTGTCGCAACTGCCACAATGCGGTCATATGGGCGTCGATCAATAAATGTTTTTGTCCATATCTAGCGACCAGTAAGTCCACGGCATGTTCATAGTTGGCCTCGGTGAGGGCTAAACCCGATATAGTATGACTTGCCTTGCCAGTTAACAAACTTCGTAGATATGTGAACTTTTGAATATTGTCGAGACTGGTGTCTTCGTGAATGGACGATTTAAACAAGTCAAAGAAACTCACCCATTCTAGCGAGTTACCATCAAATGTTTGTAGTTGTAACTTCGGCAAAGCAATCGTATTCTTAGATCTCCCACGGGGTGTATGATCGATACCGGATGCTCCATTGTTGCTACCGGTGTTGGGACGATGGTTTTCTATGAAAGTGGTGATCCGATGATTTCTTTCGTAGATCTCGGACTGGTAATCGCATGACGCTTCACTCACTGTATCGTAGTTTGCCTCGTCGGTGAGGTTGAGTATCTTCTCTTCAGTTGCGTTGAGTGCGTGATACTTATCAGAGAGCTGCTTGTTGAGTGCCACGAGTAAGTTGTATGCTGTTGTTTTGTCAGCTTCTTCGGAGTATTTGTCGATGACTTCCTCAGCTCGGGTGAAAAGTTTCGTCATGTGCGCTCGTTGACCACGGCGAGTCAACTTCAGCCTGGTGATGCTTTCTTCAGCTTGTGTGTCTGGCATTTTCTCGGTGATATCCTGGTCTCGGCAACCAGAAATGTGGGGGAATGCAGTTAAAAACCGGACTCCTTGAGCGGGGGTATACAAATGTCAGACACGGAGACAGCAATTCGTCTAAGAAACTAATAAACTAATGGTTTATTCAACAGCGAATGCTGGAACATAGTAACGAGTTACAAACTGAAGAAATACATATCGAGAAGCGTGTGTTTCATTCTTATATACCCTTAAATCGAACGTCATAGGAAACATAGCCCACAAAAACAGAGTGAAAAAAGGCGGGAAAGCTTGAAGGACAAACTTACGATCAGTGATTGGCCATGTCTATGAAAATACTATGTCGTGATTGGCTCTATAAATACCATGGTAACAAGACTAATTAAACACACGTAATTAACAAGAGGATTTACTTTTAGAATCCGGCTGGCTAATATAAAAGGCTGATATATAAACTATTAGTATCACAGCTGGTACTACATGAAACGGGTGTGGAGTCGCTTGTCCTTGAATTTCATATAACTCGGAGTAACTTTCTCCGACACATTTAAAAAATCGTCTAACAAACCAGTTCTAGCATTATGATCTCCAACCAATAAAGTCGGCAAATCGTATAAACACTTAATATTAATCAGATCATCTGCGATATTGTCAAATAATTCATTATCATAGTATTTAGATCCTTCGTGTGGGATATATACAGAACCAATAATAAAATCATAACCTAAGATTTGCTTATCTACTTTAATCCACAAAACGTGGTCAGATGACAAATTGTGGACCACATGAATATAGCCTCTGTACCTATCTTTATAAAAAATAGAAATACCATGAATGCCACCAAATGGATGGCTTTTAGTT